TTCAATCACGATCACAATTAATAGGCATTATATGACTTTGTTCGGCACAATAGCCGGCTGTTGGCTCTCCGGAACGATGAGCATCCGTTACTGTTGACTCAGCCGGCCTGCCTCTTTCACTTTTTTCTAATGTATTGTGACACGATAACCTGCCCCTAAATCGTCCTTCATGGTTTTTAAATCGTTACCATCCTCCGTTTTACTCTTGTTCATTACTGACGCCATGGTCTTATCAACAACTACTCTATATGCACCCGTCTGCAAATGTTGTCCCATGTTTTCCAAGTATTCTGACCTATTCATTACAACCATGGTTTTTCCCTTGTCAGCCTTTGTTAGTACAATACTGCGATATTCCTTCCTGTCATGCTATTTTTGTTCGTTTTTCACAAGTGTTATAGTGCCTTGGGACCACAGAAACGTGGTCACGGTTGCGTTAGATAGGTGGACGCGATACACAGGTTAAGACCAATGAGAAAATATATGCAAAACGTTGGGGATGTTTTTGACAGGTCCCCAAAGCAGGTTGGACTGTAGTACAATACGCGGTTTGTTTTTGGTTTCCGCTTATGACCCACCCACCGACTGCTGTTCTGATGCTGCTATGAACGCATCCTACCACGAACTGAACACAATACTTCGCACTGTTACCAGTTCAGATATCATAGTACTTGCAGGGGATATTCATGCTCAAATAAATCATCCTGGCTCTTCAGCAGCTCAGCTAGGTAATAATTATGGGCTTAACTGTGACTGGACGGACAACGGGAAGCGTCTTTTGCAGCTGTGTGTGAAGCACCAGCTCTTTCTTTGTAGCACCAAGTTTAGACACATTAGACACCGAGGTGCCACTTAACGTCCTCCTGTAGCTGTCCAGCGAAGGACCAGAATAGATCACTTTGTCATAAGTTACAGGTGGCGTGATTCCATCCTGTACCGGCGCTCGTTCCGGGATATATGTGCCGACTCTGATCATGCCTTGGTACACTTTCGTTCTTCCATAAACTTTACCGGGAAGCGTACCAATCGTCTCCCTCGATTGGAAACTGAGAACTTAATCCTCGATCAAGGAGGCCTACCAGAATGCTCCACGGACTGAACTTTCACTCTCTTGTCCTGATAACATTAAGCTTCAGTGGAATAGGATCTCGGCCACAATGCACGATACGGGAGCATCTGCTTGTGGTGCTATCAGTCGTCACCGCAGCAGTCACTGGATACCCGAGAGATAGATGAACCTGTTGGAATCCATGAGAAAACTCCCGGATAGCTCTGAGTACAATGTTATCAGACGGACTATTAGGTGGGAACTGAAGCGGAGCCTGCCTTCTGACAAAGAAGCTTGGTGTACCAGTAGGGCTCAAGAAATGGAGGAAGCGGGAGCAGTAGGCAATTATCACAAGTTCTTCCAGTTGATACGCACCAGTGGTCCCTGCAAATTAGGCCTCAGTGAGACAATTTGAGGCAGCGCAGGTGCCATTAATCACAATAAGGAGCGCCGTATGGCTCGTTCAGCGGAGCGCTTTCAAGATCAGTCAAGTTAACTCCCTGCTTCCGGACTCCATCGTACTCAGATGATGTAGGATGAGGCATGACCGGTTAGATTAGGGTATCCATCGGAGACTGAGGTCCGAAACTCGATCACAGCCCCATTTGTTTTTGTGCTACTAGTCCGGATTCCTTTCCACCTGCACTATCTAAGGATAGTGGTGAGGTGCTCTGCAGAGCACTGAACTCCCTGTTCGAACAGATTTGGAAGGCAAGACCATCCCAGCTAACTGGAGTGAACCAGTTATAATGGCAATATACAAGAAAGATCGCGCCGACTGTGCTAACCACATGCGTATTAGCCTTAGGCGAATGGTGACAAAGTGCTGGCCTCAATTCTTGTTCATCACCTCACAGCGGGACTGGAATCCCGGATTACGGAAGAGCAGGCAGGCTTCCATCCAAGACGTGGCTGTTTAGACCATATCTTCACTTTGCCACAGGTACCAGAGCAGCGCCACGTATACAGCAGACCGACAATAGCAGTGTTCCTCGACTTCAATAGTGCGTTCGAGTCAGTTTCTCGATGCGTTCTATTCAAAATACTTGCACAGAAAGGTGTTCCCATGAAATATGTGAACATTTATGTACCCTGTAATCGAACACCACAGTGCGCGTCATGGTCTACGGGGACCTGTCAGATCTCATTCCGACAGCAAGTGGCGTTCGTCAGAGCTGTCCAGTTTTTCCATTTTTCTTCAACTTCATCGTGGACTCCATCATATGGTGTTCCCTTTCGGAATCTTGCGATGCATGCGTTGACGTGCTCTCTGGTGAAAGGTTAGTTGCTCTTGATTATGCGGTCTATAGTTTCCTGCTTTTCAACGATGTTGGGGCGGTCCAATCAACTTTGAGTAAAATCACTCGAGTGGTCCCATTATTTGGCATGCGCTTCGCACCTTTTAAGTGCGAAGTGTTGTTGCAGCACCACCAGCCACTTGGTGGTGAGGAATTCGAGGGAGTTGATCACTTCACCAACCTTGGCAGCTGCACCGGCAATGCACTGAAGTCAGTTCACGTGTTGCAAAAACCAAAACTACCTTCTTAAATCTGCGACATCTTTGGCGACAGAAACGGGCTTCCATCCTTCTGGAAGGTCGTGTTTACAAGGTCACATTGAGGGCCTTCCTACTCTATAATACTGTGACTGGGTCCCTTCGATCTGAGTGCCTGCGGCGCCTTCAAGTCTTTGTCTTCGCTACTTATGGCGTATTGTTCGTTTCGGGGGGCACCAGCGTGTCTGCAACGATAATGCACGTAAGCGAGTACTAGGCAGTGATAACCATGATAGTTCCTTAGAACAACAAATACCACTTACTAACTTGCGTTGACTTGTGCACGTACTACGTATGCCCCTTCACCGTTTACCGAGCAAGGCCTTATTTTGCTTGTCAGATGTAGTGTGGCGCAAGGCTCGAGGTGGGCAAATGTTGACTTGGCAGCGGGAAATGAAGTTACTGACTACCAATCTCGATGCCGTCGGTTCGTCTCGCCTTCCAGGCAGGAGTCCATATGGCTTGCCTTGTGCTTGACTCGAGTCTTTACAGGGTATGGCTCGTAGTCGACACCAATGACGCGTCTGCTGCCGTCTCCTATTCGGACTGCCTGTTTAACGTGTGTTTGGTGCTGACTTATCTGCAGCGTAATGACTGATTATGACGCGGGACAGTGAAAGCCGCAAGGAAGCTGTGTCGCTGATGCCGCCATGTTTTCACGATAGCCAGCTGCTTGTGACGCTATGTTGTTGACAACGCATAGACGGCTTGACGCTGAACATTTGCTTAGAGCATTCAGGTTTTCCCACTGGCACCTCTTTTCCCCCTCTTATTATTCTTCGTTCCGTAGTTCATTGTGGTTGTAAGGCGGCGAAGCGTCCGTTCCAATGACTGATGTACTGCTGTTGATGATGGGTGATGATAATGATTCCCAGCCTAGGAGGACACGTACCGAAATGTGTTCAGTAGGAAATCATTCGGTACTCTGTTTCTTGTGTTAGTCACAAAACCCGCCAAGCGAATCCACAGACACACATTTACTGGCTAACGTATACCCCGTGGTTCCAAATTCTGCGTCTATGATCGATCGCGGAAACACTAAATCTCGCTTTGTGCATTTCGCTGAGGCCATCGCGAGTATCCGTATCAAACCCACATTGTGTGTGCAAAAAGGTCGTTTGCCGACCTCAGGGCGCCATGCATATCGAGATACCATGTTTTTCCTCTACGCCTCATCTCAAACTCTGCTTCCCCCACGTTTCTGTGCCTGTGTGTGTACATCTGAGGAGAAAATGCGACATGTGTGCACCTACAACTTTTCACCTCCTTATTTGAATATTTCATTTCTGCATTGTGAAAAATCGAGCACACCGCTTTTACCAAGATTTCCAATTCAATCTCAGTTATCCCATTTTTATGCGTTGTTGTTATACAGGATGCTTTTGTAAAACTCAGTGAATTGTCTCAGAAACTAAAGGAGACAAGTATTACAAACAACATATCTCTGTTGGTTTTCAAAGTATTCACCATTTGCTACAACGCGTTTCTGATATTGGTTGTAAAGCTTCTAACGGAATCACTCTAAACACTGTGGTTACGCGTTGTTTGATACCCGCAACGTCTGTGAGGCGTAAACCTTCCGGGGCTTATTTTAGGCGGGAGACGAAAAGTAGTCGGTTGGTGCCAAATCTGGAGCGGATCGCAGTGCATGGATGGGTGTTGTCTTGGTGTAAGTTCCACTGTCCACTCCGTTACAATCCTGACCAAATCCGCCGCGTGCGTTGCAGAAGCCGTTTCAAAACTCCCTCATAAACTTCAGCGTTGACAGTTTGACCCTCGAGTAGAAATTCATGACGGGCGCCGATCATTCGCGAGTATCCGTCGCACTCGTTCGTTGTTGTCTGGCATTACACTTGTTGACGGTCGACCGGAACGTGGCTCATCCTCGGCACCTTCCTTTATGTCTCTAAAGCGTTTAAACCACTCAACCACACATTTCTTACTCCCTGCTTCAACACCTTGCATTTAACTAGCATATGATGAATCTCTGTCACTCTTTTGCCTAATTTGAAGCAAAACTTCATGTTCACTCGTTGATTCATTACATAAGTTCTCACGGTAACTCCTTTAGCTTGTTCGCAGCATGCACCACTGATTCAATTCGGTGCTTTGCACTGTCGGGAGCTTATTGACATTTCTCTTGATGCGTATGCACCGTCTCCTCATGCTAACCAGCATGGTTTATAACCTATGGGACCATTCACCGAACTTCTCAGACGCACCGTTTGTGTTATTGTTGCTATTATCACGTGATTAATGTGTCATGCTGAGACTATCTACCAGGGTTTGTAGCTTGCGAATTGTTGATTCACTCAGTTTCCCGTGTATTTCCATGCATTTTATATATCTCTTCTTCGCATCTAACGTCAACTCTCTCCATGACTCGCTTATCTTCAGGCCTCTTCGCTCGGCACCGGACACGCTTTGCTCACTTACATACCTCCCCTCCTACTACACAACTACTGTTCCAATTGCTACTCCTGGCCGTCTTCGAGACAACATCCCTGCGACGAAACCATCTACGACCCCTGCCACACTACACCCCAGTCACGTCCACAGTGTGTTTTTGCTCGCCCTCTACCCATACTCACTTCCGTGCAGGAATTGGAAGCAAATTCAAACTACCCCTGCAAGTTTGCAGTACGCATTGTGCATTTGTGTGTGTGTGTGTGTGTGTGTGTGTGTTCTCTTTCATGCAGTTTCATTTTGCTAGCGATTTATTGTGTCTACCGCTTCCCAAGCAATCATGTATCGATCTAGCGGTGGGTCGTATAATCCCTCCATTATTTCAAACATTACGGGATTTCTCAAGTGTCTATGTAAGCCTCTTTCCTTATATTTCACCTTCCGTCTTTTCGCCTCCTTTTACTAAATAACGACAATTTCAACCGGTTCATTCTGTTCGCACCTAATTTGTGTAAGGTAACTTCCCCAAGCTACCAGCCCACTTTCTGCTGCTCGAGTTAATGTTTTTTGTGTTAGAATTGCCACACTATGATTGCACCTCCCGGAGGCACTTTCTTGTACCTAATGATTGTCCTGGAATCCCGCAACTTGGCCGATTGCCTGGTGTATCATTTTGGCACATCCTCACACATTTAATGACTGTAGTGTTTTCCACACAACCCCCGTCTCTCCATCTGCCTGAGCATGTTTACCCTAGCTCTAAATGTCTGCTTTTCCGTGATAACAACTTTACTCGGCGGAAGTCAAGAAGCAAAAGAGACAAATTACATGCCGCCCATAGTGTTCCTCTATATATGCGAAGGCTGTTGAAAAGTATCGGACTTTATTAAAATGGAAACAAAGGTTATTCAGTTACAAAATCCTTACCTTAGTCTTCTTTAATGTAGTCCTCTTGGATTGTCACACAATACTCCCAGACCTTCTGCCACTGCAGAAAACAGCACTGAAACGCCATTTTTCCGATGGAATACAGCTGGTCCTTCGCATTTTGTATGAGGTCTTCCATGGAATGGAATCTCCTCATTTTGACGGGTATTTTCAGTTTTAGGAACAGCCAAAAGTCACAAGGGGCTATGTCTGGAGTGTAGAGAGCCTGTTGAGGCTCTGGCATTTTGTGTTTATCCGGGAAACTTTGTATCAAATGTGAATAACGTGATGGAGCTGACAACTGCCCGTTGCCTGCAGATCAAAGCGTTTGCGTCTATTAGCATCACAAAAACGATACAGAATCTCTCGGTACTACTTTTAGGGATTGTTGTGCCGTGCGGTGCGTACCCAAGATAAACCACAGCCTCACGGATTCAAAGGAAATTGTCTGCATGACCTTGACATCGTTGCGGACTTGCCTTCCTTTTTGGGGCCTCAGGAATGATGAATGCTTCCATTGGGATGACCGAAACTTGCTTTCTGGGTCGTATTCATAAGCGCATGTCTCAGTACCTATGATCGCTATGTGGAGAAAGTTTGCACCATTGTTAACAGTTTTCAGTATATCCTGCGCGATCCGCAAGCGAAGCTGCTCCTGCTAGGCCGTTAGTAATTGTCGCACGAGTTTTACTGGGATTCTCGTGATGCTCAAATCTTCAGTCAAAATGGAATGCTACTGCCCATCCCTGCAAATGATTCGACGATCCTGCATCACCAAGCTTTTCACTTGTTTAATGACTCACGTATGCGCTTGAGTATCGATTCGTAAACACAGGCACTCACATGATTGCTTTAGAATGACCTTGCCTTACTTTCCTTATTTCATTGGTTTTTCTTTCCGGCTTTTCTAGCTACTGTAACGCCGAAAGCTTTTAGTAAATCGGTTCCATACTACGGGTGCGCGTTCTGTTCCGTTCATTAGCCATAGGCCATACTTAACAATGACAATTTCATTGTTGGCTTTCGGCTTACCAACCATGCTTTGCTTTCTATTGATGTGCGACCTTCTGTGAAACAGTTGTGCCATTCTTTTATCCATATGGGGTTCATTGCTACGTCACTAAAAGCGTCTTAATTTTTGGGTATTACCCAACTTCGCACAAAATTTAATGTAGTACTGTTAATCCATTTGTTCGGTTAATTATTTTCGAAACGAAAATCCGGCGGCGCGCACTAACACGTCCTCAACTGCAGTTCGACGTGCAGATGAATTCTCCGTGCGACGGGAAAAAATGCGCACATGCACATAAAGGTCACCTGCTTACGTGCACCAAGGCGTGTCTCCGGATCTTCATTATTTTTCGCAGGGCAGGTCCGATACTTTTTGTACAGCCTCCATGTGTTGTTCTACCGCATCTACACACGGCACACTTTTAGTGTGTATCAAAACTATCAACTTTATTGATGTTGATTTACTCAGACAAAAGAGCCCAGGGTCGATTGTAGCGTAATCGAACGTTACCAGCGAATCGGTGTAGCGACGTGATCAGACAACTGTGCTCAACGCGGCAGATTAACGGCTGATCGGTTCATGTTCTATTCCCCGTCTGGTTCGTCTGCGGTCCATTTCGGTTACGCCCATCACAAACTTCGGGAGTCGTGTAGCAATAAGGTTTTTGAGCTGCAACATTTTGTTGTGGATTATTCCAAAAAATTAACCCCTCACATTTCGAAGCACAGGGAGTGGGCAACTCGCTCTAGATTCAGTACCACAAGCTTGTACCGGCGTCCGCACGTGCTGCGCGGCGTTTGTTAGTGGCCTCAACATGGGGAAGTCACCGAGATATGAAACATGGTGCACTCGACTCGCACCCGACGACAGAACAAGGTGTAGAGTCCTAATCTTTCTCACCGATCTTCGCACGGCAGACCCCATAACCATCTCGGAGCTTCATCCGACTAGCTTGCTTGTTTGCAAACACTTCGTACCGATACAACTGACCAGCAGACATATGACAGGCGTGACCTAGCTGACACTGACAGTTCGAGTGTGGCAGATACCCTATTGCTGCATCAAATAGTCTCCTGCCAGCTCTCTTTGCCGAGCTTCACCACTATTCATTCAGTGCTCGGCCACCAAACCAAAGCCACTTCGCAGGTACCATGAGTCAGAATCGTCGATCAATCCTCTCCAATCCTTCATCTCACAATGCCAATGCTTTTGAGCCATCCCGTGTCACTGGGCCCTTTGCAACATTGTGTACATCCCATTCGTGACCGTTGGGCCTGTTTTTCACTGTTTCTCTAATTGCTTGGGACTTGCGGTAGATGAATTAACCTCGGTAAGTGAAGGGTACAGTACTTGTGGCTCATAGAACTTTTTGTGCTGAACTTTGCTTTTGGATACCTCCTCATTGATTTCTGCGCACAGAACTACTTTGCAGTTAGTCCATCTACTTAATTTCTTCTTTCACTAGCGAATGTTGACCCGTCCGTCATTTCTCACTGGTTTGGTTTATATGATGTTTTGTTACTTACATTTCATCGTTGTCTTCAGGATAACGCTACTTCTGCCACGCACCACAACTGCTTTGCCACGGATACCAAGCTACCACCTCCAACAGGGTCTTTTCAACCCAATGAAAACCTCTCATTTCGATATCCGGCGCTTCTCTCTGGTCGACGAAAGCTCTTGTGTTGCATTCACATCAACTATCTGGCAATGTTACAAAATGTTCGTGCTTCATATGTGCTTTGGGTGAGCCACTTTCGATATCAAACTTGTGTTTTGCTGCAAATATTATCAACCTCGGGGTTTTTCTATCGGTCTGCTACTACGCTTTGATTCATCTTCCGACGTTAACCCAGAAACGGTACCGTCTTCTTTTCTCTCTGTTATTTTCTCTTTGTTTGTTTTCCCCTCTTTTGCACCAGGTAAGTGGTCGTCTCTAATTGTATACTACATGCTATTGGCTGAGTCGTCTCGCGCTTCTACTATGGAGCTCCGTACCACAATAGGTCATTTGACATTCACGCTTCGTTAGGTTGCTAACTGCGCTTTGTAACAGATCTTCAACCTGTTCGATCGAATCACAGTGACGGTGAACATCTTCGCATCTCCGACAACCTAAGTCTTCACAGCTATTGTGGTTATGGCTTAACCAACTTCTCAAATTGGTTGACGTCAACCTTGACGTTAGCTTTTAGTGTGGCCCAAAGAGACGCTGCCTCAATTGCAGTCGGAATGACTGATTGTACAGCTGAACAGGCAACATTGACGAACGTCTCTTATTTTTGGAGGTTGTGTAATCTCTCCCATTGCCTAGATGCTGACTAGCTGGGTTCATGCTGTTTTAATCCACTGCTCCGCTGAGGATTATGCCAGAAAATGGCCGTCAACACTTTCCATAATCCGAACCCCTTGACATTTATATTGTCAGAGTTTGCCCCTGCGAAAATGCTGATGGTAACCTGCTCAACTGCACCCTAATGGCTAGGTGCTTCCTCGTCATTCGACGTCGTGTCTCTGTCGTAAGTAGGGGGTAGCGACTCAAGCCGGAGCACTTTTTCACTGCTTTAGCTGTTTTCCCGTCGCTTTCACTTCGAATCCTACCAAAGACGAGTTCCGCCAACAGCATCTGTGCTCTGTCCGAGTGCACAGACATTTGAATGCTGTGCTCTTTGCTGGGGAAATTACTCTTTAAATGGACATCTTTTCGGACAATGCATGCCGACCAAAAAGCCATTTCGGCGTTGTTGCTTTTTGCATTTGACACTAAAGTCGAGTTCTTCAATCCTGTACCGATCACACTCTTTAGCTTAGCAGTTCTGTACCAACGTGTATACTTCACCACATTGCATTTATCGAGCTAGACGCTACTGTGGGGTCACTTCGGTCACATTTCAATTGATGGAGATGACGCAAGTTGATCTATGATGGTCGGTTATTGTCTCCTTTGGCTCAGTGGCATAAGCTGCTGACTAGTGGCGCAAGCCACTAGGGGTCATGGGTTCGAGTCCCTGAGTGAGACCGAGAAAACACCTATCACTGGCATATCCCAGGGGGTTAAACAGCTGTCTGATACTTTTCTGGATTAGTTATTAACTCATGTAGCTTGTACTCTGATCGCATGTACTAAATTAAATCTCACAAATCCTTCTACTCATGAGTAATCAGTCCACATTTGTCGGACGATCCGGAATATCTACCTGAATCATGACACTACCTCACTGAGTTCCAGCGTAACTTCAACTTCCTCCATCTTATCGCAGCTCCATTATCTGAAAACAGTTTTCCGACACTTGCGAATCTGCACAATCATACTGATTTGTAAAAATTGTGAGGGGGTTGCCTTGGCTCTCCTGGGACTTTGACTTTGCGTTGCTAAGCCCATAGAAAAACTGTCTGTGGGAGGATCGAGGAATCCAAAGAGAAACGGATGAAGTGACGTCCGTTTAGCTGGACATGGACTTGTCGACCGGATTGGAGCGATGCTCTGCGAAGATAGACGATAACTGAACCAAAATAGTGGAGGACCAAGAATTGAGTACTAAAAACAAGGGAGATAAAGGGGAAGTTGGAACCAGACGATAAGTATGAAGCAGCACAGGAGGGAGGATAAACAGACGGGAAGGCTTGAGCAGTAGCATCCCAACCCCATCCACCCTGCTCGATGCAGCAGATAAGGGGTCATTGATTATCCTTTGCGACGGCCAGAGCATTAAGAAATTATTTGAAGGGAAAGTCGTTGTGTTATATTGCCTAGGCTTAATACTGTCAGGCTGCCTTGGCCTTGACAGGAGAAAGATTAGGGTTCTTAACCAAAGCCTTTGGTTCAAAAACCTGTCCGCAAGGCAGCGGGGTTTGGGCACAGGGCCACATTAGATCCGTTTTATGAAGTAAGGAGCCACCCTCAACCTGGAGGGCCAGGAGACTCAATTTGTCAGACTGGAAGTGCAAAAGCATCACCCAGCAAAGCCCAATAGATGGATCGCTGGGGCATGCAAACCATCGCACCACCTTAACGTCTAATCTCGTCACGATGGCATTCCTCACTTCGAACTTGTCATTTGTTCATGTTTCCCGACTGCCGCGCTTAGGTCCGTAGGACGATGAACACCTTTGGTTGGATAAACTAGCTCGCATGGCGAGTATCCGACTTTAATGGCGTTTGTGTTGTGAATCTCTTTGTCCGTCCCCTCCTCTTTAGCTTCCCCCACCAACAACGATATCAAATCCAATATATTATGTGATTTTATCATGACGTTACTTTTTTAGCTTTTTAGTCTGTAATGTTTAATTTCTTATCATTTTTGCCTTGCAGCACATTTCTTGAAGCGTTTCCCGCCCTAGGCTAACGTGTGTTGATGATGGTGATGATGATGATGTGTTTTTGGTGCGAGATAAAACATCTGATCTACCTTTCTGCATCCTGTCAGAAAGACGGTGTTCGGAGTTTGTGTGGTTGACGTCATGCTAGCAATTGTCACTTGTCATCTTCGGTATGGAAAAGGTCCTGTGTGAGTGCTCGTCTTTTCGTTATCTCCAATCTGTTGACGCGCATCATATCGCATCGGTTCACTGGTCTTTGCGGTAGTCGAGCCAAAGGTAACTGTGTTACCTTCCAACCAGATAAAAATAGCTTTTGTCGTCTATTTGCACTCCACTAGTTTCCGGAGATATCACAAGTACAAGTGGATACAAAGTCTATGCTCACTTCACTCGAACGCATTTTTTGAATGCTTGCTGTGGAAACCACTATCTTCTTTTCTCCTTTATACTCTGCATCGTGGCTGTTCGGATTGCGTGCTAGTCCATGATAGGATATTCCCCATATCTTCCAGGTACAGTGACATCGCAACTATTATGGCGTAGTCTCATCTGGTGCATTTTTCCGGTATGGAGGAGGATCCTCATGGTGACCGACTCGTAAGGTGGGGGGCGATCTCTACTTCTTCGTTGTCACGAGTCAAAAGGATGTCCAGTGACTTCTGTCGTGTGGCACTTCCTTGCGCTCCTGCGAGTCTGTCATACTTGTCTGTATCTCGACGCATCCATCTATGTAAAAGGTCTCGTTTACAGCGCCTCTGTTCGTTTAGTCTTGTTGTATAGGAGCGAGTCTTGACCAATTCGCATGGGGGCATGTACCGTCTTTCCGCCCTCAACAATGGTTGTTTGAGTGGGATCTCTCATATGTGGTGCCAACACCGAGTTCAAAGTGGCGATGTTAAACTTCTCGTCCTGAAGAATGCCAGTATTCCCTACAAGAAGCTGGTTTTGCTGTTTCAGATGGTTCGGCCGTGGCCTACGAATGGCGCCTTAGGGTTTGCCGCACCGCACCCTATATACTCGTGTACGACTGGGCTGGAGGCGATCGCGTGTTGGTCAGCCTTCTATCTGGCGACAGAACATGAAATCGCTGGCTTCACATCTAGCCGCCATTGGACCCGTACATCTTCCTGGATGGGGCCAGTGGGCTAACACGCTTGAAGATATGGCCCGCAACCAGAATCATTGGAAGGATTGTGTACAGAATTGTATTGATTCGCATGTTTCATGCCTCAGACATTTAATATGACAAAAAGTGAACGTGTGCAAAGCAAACAAGAAGATTTCGTTCTATTTTTTGTTCAAGTTGTACTTCCCTGTGCTTCTCATTTTTTTGATATAAATGTCTGTGTCACCTCCTATTTGTCAAACAGAATGGCTCCTTCGTCTGGGCAACACCGATCAACCGTTTTCCCAGCGTGCATTGCCTCACCATCTGTATCGTGAGACTCCATGAGGACACTTGGCGTGTCCGAGTATAGGGCACGTAAGAAGTTCCCGAGTTTAACAACAGTGTTTTTCCCTGTTTGTATTCCGAAGGGAGTGGAGCTTTTGTTTGATTTAGACGCGCTCTTGAAGTCGAAGAACGCAATTTTAGCCTATCCACGGTATTTAGGGCATCGAATACCCAAGAGTAGGAATACACCCTCGTTCTAGTCGGAAATCCGCTTGTTCTATCCTCCCATTTTCCCATCGACGGCGATATCAGGGATATATGCCTGTAACTTTGGCACTCCATCGCAATGAGGCTGGACCTCGATGCGGTGGTGTGCGCGCCTCAGTGATCCATTGAGCCATGCTGCGTGGTGCGTATTTTTGCACCTTCAGAGCCACTCATACCAGATTGGTCAATGGTTAGAGGCACAACAAACTCAGTCTCCTGGCCGTCCAGGTTGGGGGTTAAAGTGAGGATGGCTCCTTATTCATTAAACCGGACTCCTTGTAGTCCACTGCCAAACTCGCTGCCTTGCGGTCAGGTTTCTGAACCAGAGCCTCTGGTTGAAAACCCTAGACTTGAGCAACCTGACAATATCCCGCCCACGCATTACCATGCATCTTTTCTCAAAGAATTTCCTGATACTCTGGCCACCGCAGAGGATAATTAACAGCGCCTTATCTACTTCATCGAGCAAGGTGGATGGGGTTTGGATGCTAGTGCTCAAGCCTTCTCGTCTTCTTATTCCCCCTCTTACGCTTTTTCATCCTTCTCGTCCCGTTCCAACTTCCCTTTCACCCCCACCGTTTTCAACCCCTTCAATTCTTAGCCCCCGCTATGCTTTGGTAGGCATTTATCTTATAGCTTCGATTCATGTGTAATCGGGAAACGTCACTCTTGCCCTATCGATAAGCCCATGTCTAATCAAACAGTCAAACCCAGTTCATCGGCTTCTGTTTAGAGCCCCTGATCCTCCCTCAGATTTGCATGCCTC